AGTCTGGATTGCTTTATGACTTCATGAAATCAAATTGTCTAGACTCATCTTAATTTCACTATTTCAAAAGATTGAAAATAAGGTAGTCTTTTAGAAATAAAGCCTTTGTGGGCTGCTTCTTATTGCTGAAAAAGTGTGTGGAGTTGGGAAGGAGTTCTAATTGCACAATGCTGAGCTTTGTGTTGGTGTTGACCTGGCAGACAATCAAAAATGTAAACAGACAAAAGATAGGCAAAAACCTAAAGTCCAGAGAAAAACAGGTCTATATTCCTGTCTTAATCAATGGGGTTTTTAAGTGCACACTTTCATTTAGGGAAGAACTTTCAGTCATGTAAAGAAAAGCACCATATACTTGAAATCCTTGTCAATCTAGGCATGACTTAAGAAAAACAGCTTTTGCTCTTAAGCAGGTGCCATTACATTAATCATATCTTGGTGATGAGAGCAGTTTTCCATCACCAAGATGGAAGATAGAGCTTTGAGTAAACTGTAGTAAAAACAGTAACAATTTCAAAACTGGGTGTCATTTAGGGTGTTGATATGAACCACTCAAACCCATTTTCCTTAGTTATTTTACTCTAAGTGCTATCTGAAATCACAGAGTTACATATAGTTGTTTATATCATAAAATAGTTCTATTATTCTTATTCCAGTTACTCTTTTTCAATCCTGCATTTTTCTTTTTCTTTTCCCAGAGCTCTGGAGCTTCAACCATTTTCCCTTAAGCCTCTTTTACGCCGAGCAATGGCAAATGAGTCAATGGAGCGGTATCGACAGGCATACATTGATTATAAAACAGTGCTACAGATAGACAGCAGCATCCAAGCAGCAAATGATAGTGCTAACAGGTAACTTATACAGTAATTCTCTGATAACAGTCAACATAGAAAAACAGAATTCAGATTTGTTTGTTTTACATGCTCGCTCTATTTTGTACCGTCAGAGTTGTTGTAAAACTAATTCCTTATAGGTAGAGGATTAGCTGTTCTTTTCCCATAATTTCAGTTTTCCTCTCCTAGCAGTGCGTCTCTCATGTTTTTCAAAAATGTAGTATTTTAAATATTATAAAATTTTTTGGGTTTTTTTCATAGTGTTTCTACTTGTCTTTCCTAACCTCTATTTTATACTATATGAAGTAATGCTTACGATCTGTGCCATTTCTCTGACATCCTGCTTCCTTTACATATTAACAGTCTTTCTGTAGCAGTTGGAGATTTATGTGAAGTGTGAATCCTTCTGCATGCTGCAGTTGTGGAAATACCGAAGTAATTTGATGCAGTGGTTGGCTGCAAAGCTTAGAGTTGTAAAAAATATAATTACATATTATTTTCAAGTATTAATCATTTCAAATGCCAAGAGAAATGTTTGAATTTCTCTAATTATATTTTGGTATTATAAAGTTGAAAACAGAACAGCCATTAATCACTGAGAAGGAACCCATGTGCATGTAACTTTTACAATGGAATCTAGTACCTTTTTTTTCTTCCTAAGTCAAGGCCATGAGCACTTGAACTATTCATCAAAGTCCATAATATCTTTCTTTAAATTCTGTTTATTTGACCAGAGGAAATGGTGACACTTCATAATCTCATACAAGTCCTATCTTTTTGATAACATAAAAATTGTTAGTGATCATCTGTATCTCTGGTGATAATAGATTGGATTGGTGGAACTGCTTATCCTGGTACCTATGTAATTATTACACTTTTTAAAAATCTCATTGGCTTATTTTATCTGCAGATACTCTTTTCATATTTCTCCTTGACTTGGAACTTGCTTAGTAATAAGCTTATTTCCCTTTTCCCCTTAACACTCTTCCTTTTCTCCTCTCTAGGCCTTCCTTATGTTTTTAGCTTCACTGCTCATTACTCTTTTCCTTCCTGGCAACCCATCACCTTATTTCAGCTGCTTCTTCCTTCTTCTCTTCTGCTGGTAATTCATTTTTGCTTGCAAATTATTAGTTTCTAAACCATAGACCTCCTGTGTAATTGAACTTTATTTTTTAAGAAATATTTTATCATTTGAAACTTCAAGTGAAACTGTACTAAAGCTTTCATTTTCATTTCCAAAGAGATGAATTTTTAAAAAAATGACTACCTTTTAACATAAAGAGACTATCCCAAAGGTAGCATTTTTTTTGTATTTTTCTATATTAGGAAAATCAGATCTTAACAACCCTCTTTTATTGGAGGATTTCTTGGTTTTTAATTTTCTGTGGGAAATTGGATAGTGATGCTGTAAGATGCTGGCAGGAAATATCCATCATCCTACTTGTGTCTGAGGGTGGGTTTGCTAAACCATGTTGAAGCTTGTCTCTATGTGCTTACATAGTTAAGCAGACTTTCCAAAAACCTTAGAATCAATTGCATATTTTTAATATTCCCATAAAAGACAAGGATTTTTAATATCAAGCCTTTACCTGTTCATTTTGCAATCAAAAAGAAATAATTAAGAGTTTAGGTACATAATGGAAACAAGTATAAACACTTATTTGAGTGTTTATTGTGTTGATTAGATTATGTTAAATTGTGTCTTTTATTGGTTCCTGAGGTGATTTTTTTTAGATAAACTGGAAGGACTGACACTTTTAATGGTGTGTGCCAAATAACTGGAAATTGAATTTCAAGCATGCTTTTAATTAGTGGCATTTTCCTAGGTTTGTGAACATCAGTGTATCTCCTACTCTGTGTATTTTAATTTCCTCTTGAGTGTTTCATTATTTGTTTTTCTCTTAGAAATAAAGAAGCTCTAATGTGTGGGAATATATTCATGCATTTCCTCCTACTAAATTGAAGTTTCATTCCAGTTGTCCCAATTTCTTTAGTATCAGTGAGCAAATTGCATGCAATAGCTTGGAAGCTGTTTTTACAAAGTCCCATATGAGTCTATACTGCAGAAAGAAATTTGTTATCAGCTGCAGAAATGCATGATTGTTGGGTCAAGTCGGGGAGTTGGTGGTGGGAAATGAGTGTATTTGTCCCAGCTTATTCATGAGACACCTGTGCTTTTTAAACTAATCGTGGCACACAGGTATGCATTTTTGCAAAGGACTCTGCTTACATTATGATATTACAAGAAGTCAGTTGATCATCAGATGCTGCAGGATTCTTTCTGCAGATTTTGATGAATTGGAGTTTTTTCTTCCAACTTTTTAAGCCCATTATGATAAATGAGAATACAAATTGAATACTAAGTCAATATAATATGACTCTGGTTTCCTGTAGAACTACTCCATTACTTCCTCTGGGAAATACCTAAAGTTAATTAACTGACATGTTAATACGAAGTGTACTGTTTGGTTGCTTAGAAAAACAACATGAGTAAATCTTTGGGTTGTTCAATTTATGATGGTGTGCCACATTTTTTCTTAGCAACTGAGTTCAGGCTATTATTAAAATCTTGGAGTTTTAATAAAATTAGAGCAAAACAGTACTTGGACAAGCCACATAATTGATATGTCCTCTAAGATACTTGGGAATGCCAAGGGCATGTGCAGTTAACACACATTAAAATAGTCTTTTTGATCAGTTAGGTAACAAATAAAGCAACTACATTATAATATGGAATGTGATATTCTGTGAATGAAGAAATAAACTTTCAAGTCAAAACCAAGTTTTTTATGCAGCACAGTGTAAGACGTAAACTTGGTCATTATATAGCTCTACAAACAGACTTCTTAGTCTTTATCATTCTTTAATGTAATTTCTGTTTCACATAAAGGAGATTAGAACTGGTGCTGCTTCTTGTATTAGTTTTTTGATCAGACCACAATGGGAAAAGAATACAGTTTTGAGTGCTCTGATGCTGTTGCCAAACTGTTACACTGACACTTTTTTTTTAAATAGCTGTTATTCTTAGAAAGAACAAAAGTAAATAAGAAAACTCTATTGGGTAATTTATGTTCATTCTGTGTTGTTCTTCATGTCACTGTCAAGGTTCTTAATTTTTTTTTGGATGTGTGTTCATGTAGTATGTTTCTCACACCTGTGTTAGATGGAAATGCACCTGATACAAAAATTTTGAGTTTTATTTCCTGTAGTATCCATGTGACTTGCTTTGCTAATCAGTTCAGAATTTTCCTTTGTTAAATTACAAATTAGACTTTTTACCAGTTGAACTTGATTCTTAAAACCATTTTGAGATCAGGAGATGTTTATCACACTGTTACTCTTATAATTGATTTTGATTTTTTTTTTTAACACTACAAAATTTGTGGTGGAACCATGAATGGCTTAAATGGCTTCACTTACTGTGTCTACTTTTGTCTTTCTCCAAAAGAGAAAAAGGCAATGGGAAACTCCCACTCAAATAGTTTTTGGATTGAGCCACATATATGTGGAAATAATTGACACATATATATGTGTTGGTTTGAGAAGGACTAAACAAAGTTTTTATATGTAATTAAAATATTTTTAAATGGGGATTGATCAATACATTTCTCACTATATAACTGTAAAATGCAGCTTAATGCAGACTACTTTGTGATCTGCATTGATTTTTTTAGACAGTTGTTGTGGAAGAGGTTTCATTTGACATTTGCAAATTTAAGAATCACATTTTGCCTGAGAATACTGTAATCTACACTGCATACAAATAACACCTATGAAGAGCTGAGAAGCGTAATGGAAGTAAATACTTGGATTTTTTTTTTTATTTCTTTACTGGATTGGTAGGCAGCATTTGTAGCTCAGTTGTAGAATCAGTCATTGGCTTAAATATTTACAGATCATGTTGAAGTCAGCTTGTTTTCTAAATGCCAGCATAATACTCTAAAGTGGAAAAAGTGTGAATCTTAAATGCATGTAATACTGTTGACTGCTGTGATAATATTTTTCAAATTAGCATTAAGCTAATTATAATTAGCTTATTAAATTATGATTAAATAATTAATCAGGTTGTTGTAGGTTTTTTTTAAATTGTAACATTGCAGTGCTGAATTGGCTGTAAGTTATTAAAGTGTGAGTAAAATATATGAAAAGTCATGTTGGTGGGGCTGTTCTTTTTCAGAATAACAAAGACTTTAATAGATCAGGATGGTCCCAGTTGGAGGGAGAAGTTGCCACCAATTCCAGTTGTTCCAGTTGCTGCTCAGCTACACAGGTGGGATGGAGGAAACCTTCCTTCAGAGAATAAGCCAAGTACTACAGACCTCAACAGAGAAGAGCAAGTGCAGATGAATCGTATGTATAGCTATTGTAAATACACATTCAGAAAATAAACCTAATTAGAAAATTGAATACATCTTAACAATGTCAAAGACACCGCTTTAGAAAATAGTTATTAAGAGACCTTTGTGAAAAGCCAGAGTAAATGACTATCATTTATGTGATGGAGTTCAATGTGCTTTGTGAAGCACAGTTACAGTAACTTTTTTTAAAACAAGTGATGCAGTTTGCATTATGTAATTTCTGAAGTTATATGAAATGAGCAGAAATACTCATTGGCAAAATATCAGGATCACCAAAGCCCAAGTGCTGGCCCTACACAGGACACCCCAAGGGTCACACCATGAGCCTGAGAGCATTGTCCAAACCCTCCTTGAACTCTGTCAGCCTTTTTGCTGTGACCACTTTTTTGGGGAGCCTGTTCCAGTGCCCAACCACCCTCTGGGTGAAGAAACTTTTTGTGATATCCAACCTAAACCTCTCCTAGCTCCACTTCCTTGAGTCCTGTCACTGGTCATGAGAATGAAGAGATTGGTGCCTGCCCCTCTGCTTCTCCTTGTGGGGATGTTGAAGACCTCAGTGAGGTCTCCCCTCAGTTTCCTCTGGGCTGAACAGACCAAATGACTTCAGCCACTCCTCATACTGCCTCCCCTCCACACCCTTCACCATGCTCATGGCCCTCCTTTAGATATTCTCTAATGGCTTAGTATCTTTCTTATATTGTGGTGCCCGAGCTGCCCTCAGCACTCACTGTGAGGCTGCCCCAGTGCAGAGCAGAGCAGTACAAACTCCTCCCTTGCCTGGCTGGCCATGCTGGGCCTAATGCCCCCCCAGGACAAAAGTGTCAGTGGTTTCCCTGACATCATAATACAGTTACAACACAGTTTTCCCCCAGAAAAGCCACCACCCACACAAACACCCAGCTTTGGCAGAGGACATGTAGGAGACACCTTTCAAAGATGTTCTGGATTTGTTTGTATGTAATCACTAGGAAATCACTAGGAAATCTAGGAAACTACCTTCCTTCCTGACTTTTTTTTTTCCCTTCATTGTAGTTTCTATTTTTCTCCTTCAGTAAATAAGCTCTCTGATTCAGTTGTTACTGACAGTAATACTCCCTTTGCAAAAGCTTTAACCTTATGATTCCTTATTCAAGTATTAATTGGTTTCTCTTTGAGTTTATTTCAATGTAAAGTATTATTGAAGATAATCTCTCCTCAATTAACAACAGGGTTGACTGCAGTTTGTAACTGGGCTGTTGGCCAAATACATACCAGTCATGGGATTCTCTCTCTGTAGTGCATTACTGCCATACTGAGTGTCCTCCAAGTGCTTGGCAGCATTTTGATGCAAAACACGTCTCAGTCTATTTCAAATAGCACAGGCTTTGGTTAAGCTTTGTTTTTAGAAATATTAAACAATAACTGTGTGACTGTTTTCACTGAAGGCTGACTCTTAAGGTTCTGGTTGCCTTCTCAGGTCTCTCCTTCATCAGTGAGACCTGACATTTATAGGCTGGTACTGAAAGGCTGCCAGCAATAATGTTCAGTCAGTAGTTTAACCTTACTGTTGGCTGACACTTTTTTGCAAGAATTGTATTGCAGCTTGAGTCATAATTTGGTTGTGTGTTTCATGTAGTTTATTTTTTCCCCAAGTCCACATGTAGTTTTCTGGCATAGGAAACCACCATGTTTTTATAAAATAACTCAATTAGTTCAATTGTTGGTTGAAATTGTTGGTTATTTAGTGTTGAAAACCTGAAGCTTGGCAGGGGACTCATATTCTTTAGTGCAGTGCAAAAAGTAGATTATTTCATTATGATTTACTTAGAGCTATGTTGCTAATTACTGTTTGCTCACAACAGCATCATGAAGCTGCAGTTGGGATCAGCTTTTCACTGCAAACTCAGCTAAAAACTGTAGCCTAACACAAAAGCATCTTCAGCAAATGATGTGGAATTAAGAAGGAAAGGCAATTATGGAATAACACAGTATTAATAAAGAAAATAAAGAGCGTAGTTAGGTCTAGTTTGTAGTTAGGTGTGGTATCCACATTCCTCACTGCATGTTTTCGAAATAGTTCTTCAAAGGATATTACTGATGTATCCCTAATGCCAACTGATGAGATTTGTTGGTCATTGCCAGTTTAGCATAATAATTGTGGTAGTTGATTGCAAAGAGAATACTGGATCAAATTATTGCCGTCTTGGTGTGATGGTGGAGATCTGGAAGGCCTTTAATCCTGCTGATTAAAACTCCACCATTTTAAGTAAAAGCAGGGTCTCAGTGGACACAGGTAGGCCCTCTCTACCACACAGAAACTGGGAAAGCTTAGAGCTGTCTGTTGCATTCCCATTATTTTCAGCAGAGTAGTAACACGGGTGGATGGGGAAGTATTTGTTGAGCCAAATGTAGGTCTGGTCATGCCTTTGTTGGAGCAGTAGGGGAGGCTTGGGATAGGAATGGCCAACTGCAGAGTGACAGAGGCCAGGCATTAATCCTTAGTCTGCATAGATCATTCAGCCACCCTTAATAAACTGACCTTATGTAACACTGTGATCCTTTTGTGTTGTAGGTGAGGAAGCTATGGAAAAGTTCAAGAGGTTGAAAAATGAAGGGAATGATTTTGTAAAAACGGGTGAATATGAAAAAGCTGCAAATAAATACAGTGAGTGCATGAAGTTAAATACTGAGGAATGTACTGTCTACACTAACAGGTAAAGATCCAAAAGCTAATGCTGTTTTGTGGGATAACAGTAGTTGTATTTTCTCATTTCAAATAGAGATTTTGCATCCCTTCGCTCATTGTTGTGGAAAAGGGATTTTTTTCCTACTTGGTAAGAGTTCATAACAACAAAACGGATTTCTTGTAAAAACATTTTTCCAGGGGGGCAAGTATTAATGTCACTGATATGTACCTTAAAATGTTCTATATAAATAGAGTAAGCAACTAGGAGAAGTTACAATTAGCATAGTATTTTGAAGCATTTTTGAGATATTTTTTAAGAATAGTGGTATGATTTGAATGAAAAATGACGTGCAGTAGCAATATTTCAAACATGAAGAGTAATAACTCAGATAAAATGTGTGCATTCTGAGAAAATAAAAGTAAGAACACAGTCATACATTGGCATTATTTTAAAGGTTGACCTAATTCAGCAGTGTAATTCTTTATGCTGTAATCTTATCAGCTTCTACAAACTAAGAAGGATTTGATTAGACCAGTACTTGAATAGGAGAGTTCCAAGTAATAATTAGGTACAGAGAGCAGTGTTGTTTATTTAATCCAGAGCCCTTTTTTACCCAGAATGGCTGTATAAAATCCATTTACATTAACCACTGAACTATCATATTGTACTAACATTTTTAAAATACTTGCATATCTGCTTAACTTCAAGCATTAGTCATACTTGAATTTTGACCTTTATTGCAGGAATTGGCCTTCTCTAAATCCATCCAGTGATGTTCTTGATAGTTAATGGTTTTATGTACTTTAAAAAAAATCACATTGAGACTGAACTGTTTGAAGTATTGTAATTAACATTTACGAGTCAGAAGATGTTGGCATTAGAGCACTGTAGAATTTACTTATATTGCAGTATATTCTGTTTTCTGTGTTAGAGCTCTCTGTTACTTGAAACTGTATAAATATGAAGAGGCTAAGCGGGATTGTGATCATGTTCTTCAGATAGAAGATTCTAATATTAAAGCTTTTTATAGAAGAGCACTAGCGTACAAAGGATTACAGGTGAGGAAAAAGAACATGGCAGGTATTCTTAAGCACTTCTAAACTTGCTTATCCTCTTCAAAGGCAATGAGGTAGTTGCTCTGAATGGATGAATACAAAGTACTCAGTGTGATGATTTAATACTTTGTAGGGCATTAGGCATACATAAAACATTACATAAATATTTTTGCTACATAAAAACCTGCATGTTGATGTAATAATTTGAGAAAATACAAGAATATTGCAATAAAAACCGATTGACTGGAGATTGGTTAAGCGAGTTTCAAATCTGTTCTAATGTTCTATCTAGTATTCTCCTTCTGGGTATCCCGGTCTGTTTTATCTGTCAAGGAGTTTACTATAACTTTGCTGATGACAAATGGATTCTTGCCAAGCCTGTCTTCATCTGTCCAAACTAAAATCTCAAGCTGTCTTGGCATCTGCTCATATTTAAGTATCATTTTAAACCAGGGTTTTAATTATGGTAGTTTTCTCTCTCTTTCTTCCCCAAATGCATTACAGCCCTTTGTCAGTACTGTACTTTGTCATTCTGTGGCAGTGTCAGTACTCAGCCTTTCCCTTTCCATCTGCACGGTGGTGGTGTCTCTACAGTGCTCCTCTTTTGTACAGTTTTTAGAGTATCCTTTTACCTGATCATCATAAATGCAGACACATTGTTCATACCCATCCTGAATGTAACTTCAAATCTCATGTTCCATCACTTGAACCGTGTCGTTGTTTGTCCCTCCCTCTAGTGGTTCCTCATCTTCAGTGATGTTAAATTAGCCTTTACACTCCATAATTCTTCCACAGCAATCCTTGCTCTGCCTGTCAGCTCTTACTTGCCATTGAATTATCAGCTTCTCAGTCTGTAGGCTCATGATGGCAGCTCTCATCACCTGCTTTGTAATAAATTTGGAAGTATCTTTAAACAAGCCTCTGAAGTGCTGTCTTCCACATTGCAGGAGTGGACTGAAGGTCCACTAAGTTTCATCATTGTCCTTCAAATGAATGGACACTTACTCAGACCTCCATTATGTTTGATGCCTTAACAAAAAATTACCTGATGATGTCTCAGTTTACAGATCACCTGAGAAGCTGTTTGTGCTTAGCAGCATACCAGCCTATTCTCATCCTGTGTTATAATTCCAGATGCAAGTCCTGGGAATGTGATTTATTTGTTCCTCTGTTGCAGTAGCTATGAAATTTTCGAAGTGTGAGAAGTCCTAATTTTGTGTCATGTTTTTTCCTATAAGTGTGCTGAGCTACCTGGTATTAATCATCTCTAACCTTATATTATTGAACTTGATAAAAAGTCAGTATAAAAATGAGTATATAGTCATTCTACCAGACAGAAAAAAGGGTATTACACACTTGTGAAGAAGGTCGAGAATTGGAGAAGGAACTTTAGCTTTTTTGCATATCCTAGAAAAAAGCCTTATTTTTGTATTATTGAAGATAACCTGAAACATAGTGTTCATGAACTCCTTCAGAACAGTCTGAACTGGGGACTCCCAAAATGTTTTGTTGTAGTTGGTTTTAATGCCTTTGTTATTGCTCATTTCAGGGATGAAAGTGATAGATAAAACTAGAGAACATGATAAAAATGAGCTGAAGTTGACAAATGACTGTAATGAAAAATTGTATGAGCTAATGGCATGTAGTTTGGCAAAGACTTAGCTAAGGTGGGAAGTGTTATTTGTATGTAGTTAGACACACATTTAACTACAAAAGCTGCAGTGAAATTTAATGTAGTAATTGAAGGGGTTTTTTTACAGATTTACTGAGATGTAGTTAAGGGAAGATCAGGAAGAAGTGTTAGTGAGATGCATTAGGTCCTGTACGGCATCTCCTGCAGCTGGTAGTCCACTCTTGTTCTGGGTACAGTCACGTTGTATGATTTTTATTGGACATTCAGGCAGGCTGCAGTTTTAAATTCAGTAGAGTTGGTTGCTGACCCTTGTTACTGTTTCCAGATGTCTGTTCTAGAATCTCATTTCTCTATCCTTGTGAATCCTCACATCTGTAATTCAAATTATTTAGTTTAATCACTTGTGGATTTCTGATGAAAGGAACCTGCCCCTTTGTGCATTCCTTTATTAGGAATACATAATTCTCATTCTCTCACTCTTCCTTCATGACCTAGTGGACTTCAGTTCACTACTGATGTCCTGCAGCCTCTCTGCCCCTTGAATATTGGCCACCAGTATGGAACAAAAGGTGGGAAAGAGTTTGAGTGACTTGGACACTGGCTCCTGTGTTACAGTTGAGGTGCTGAGGAAGTACCTCAGGTGGTACATGAAGATCTTTTTTTCCATGATAATACACATGATTTAATAGTAACCTTATGATGCTGCTTGGGAACAGAAGAAATACTAGACCACTCACACAATAAATTATGTTGGTCTTTTACTATCTGCCTGGTCTTTTACTGTTTACTACTGCATTTCATCTTTATTTTTGATATTCCAGCCCTTGAGATGTCTTCATTTTCCTATGTGATAATTCCAGTCTTCCTCAATTGATGCTATTAACTTCATCTCTCCAGACCATTTAGACTAAAAAATAGTAATTATACAGAAAAAATGTGAAATAAAAGCATTAAACAAATTACAAGACTGATTATTGAGGAACTGTATCCTAATGCCGCTCTGTCACTGTGTTTGTCCTAATCTTGTTTACCCAGAGGTCATAACATAATCACAGTCTACTCAAGTATTAGCAAAATTTCACTGTAAGAGATGCTCTATTGGATTGAAGCCCAGGAATATTAGATACATATTTAATGTATCTAATATTAACTCTCTTAGTGGCAAAGCAAGTAGGCAAACTTGCTGGACTCAACATTATATTAATTGTGAAGTAGTGTTACACTGTAAGCAATTATGCTTAAAAGCAGCAAACTTCAATAATTTGCTCTCTGATACAGGGAACAGGTTTCTGAGAATAAATTATTTTTATTATAATTAAATATTTTCTTCTACTTACAGAATTATCAAGCCAGTGTTGATGATTTCAACAAAGTACTTCTAATAGATCCAAATGTTCTTGAAGCACAAAAGGAATTAGAGGAGGTAACCCAACTGCTTCACCTTGACAGCAGTGCTGGAGCTGGCAGTCAGCGAACACGAGGGAAGAAAATAACCATACAAGAGGTGGTATACCTATTCTTTTCTTGAAAACAAACACAACAGAAGCCACACATGTGAAGAGATTAATATTAAAGCTTTTGTTTTCCCATCTTAAATCTATGCTCACAGTGTATTCAGAACTACAGCAGGAAGGGCAATAGTCCATTTAGATGGCACTAAACTTGAGGATATACTCCTTTTAAACAAAAGCTGCCTAAACTTTGAAATACATGCTTTACAGAGTGCAGCTGTGAAATAGAAGTTTTGTTTTTGAAGTCTGTGCTCCTTGGGCAGCCTCTGTGGCTGTGCTGGCAGAGGTCTTGGCAGATGTGCTGGCCGCTTCTGTGATGGTCCTAAAGTTATAGATCTGAAAAATGAAATCCTACCCTAAAGAGCAAGAGTAAAACATCTGTAGGATCTTACAAAAGAAACACAGAATGTAATGTTATGTACAGGATCAAAACATTAGGCTTGCACAGTTCTGGGTAGAATTAGGTGATGAAAGGATTTTCTCAGTCATCTGATATTTTTGGATTGTTGCTTTGCTGGTTGTTTAAGAATTCTTTTTCCCCTTTTCATTTAAAAATGTATTGTTAAAATACATACTTACCAGTCTGTATAGTGATACTGTAATTTGATAATGTAATTTCAGAATGTGGTATAATGGAAGCTGCAGCTAGTAATACAGGAAAAAAAAAATGTTCTTGAAGTACTTCAGGTTGTCACAAGCTCATGGGATTTTATGTAACTGGCATAAGCTGGTATAGTGTTAGTTAAGCTCTGAGTTGTGACAAACAGAGGGACCTGGAACATGTTCAGAGGAGGTTTGGGAAGTGACCACATTGCTCAGAGACCAGCTAACTACATTGCTGGCACTGGTAATTTTTCTAGGGGTGATGCAGGAAGCATTTATGTTTTCTGTCATAATTACAACTGCCCCTGTAGAGAGGCTTTCCTCTTTTACCTGCTGTAGTACAAGGTAGTTCCATGAAAACAGACTGCAAAGAGAAATAAAATTAGAAAAATAATTTATCATCATTATTCCATGTTAATCAAGTTGTAATTATATAAAAGACAGTCAAGGTTTCTCCCTCAATTCTAATGATTGTTGAAAAATAGAACAAAATGTCTATAAGCCAAATGCAGTATTTTCCAAAAATTACTAATCTATATTAGTAATATAGATTACTATACAGTAATAGTATATTACCCTGTTCTATACAGTACAGTATCTTCAGACTTTTCAAAATACCTGGCATTGAGACCCTGTTCAGTAAGTTTTAGTCAGGTTATACTAATTTCACAACTCTTGATGGCTTGATTTTAGCAAATGTAGTTGCCCCCATAGTTCCATAGTTAATTTTTAGTGACTGGTTCATTAAACTTTATAGAGGCTGCAGTCTCAGGAGAAGTTTAAGTGGATAGTGAGGCAGTTTATCCATGCTGAACTTCTCTTTCCAAAGCAAGACTCCAAACAGCAACCTGATGAGCTGCCCTGGAGGCACGGCAGAGAAATGGAACATGGGTGTCTGCCTTGACTCCAGTTGTCCCTGTCTTCTGGAACTTCACATTTAATGCATGTGTAGAGTCCTCCTTCCTCCAGTGCTCCCCAGGGTTGATTCCACAGTGCAGTGCCAAACAGTGAAAAGGAGGTGTAGCAAACACACTTTTGACTGTGAGCCTTTAAAGGTGAATTAGAGAGCTCCTGTTTTGGGGGCAGCAGGACATGGAGGAGCATGGATGCCTTTCTTCTATGAAGAGCAGACTGCCAGCTTTAATCCAGTGATATGATGGATAAATGCAGTTGGTGAAGCTTCAGGTTATGTCTGTATCCACAATGTAATTCACATTAAGTGATTTGTTGCCACTTTGTTTGTGAAGGTGACTGAAGCTGATGAACAGGAAGAGAGACAGTTGGCTACATCAGAAGATGCTGAGATTCACCATGTTCCTGCTGAGGAGGCTGTTCCAAAGCGAGTGCCACAGAGGTCCTCGGAGAAACTCCGTGTTTGGGAACCATCCAACGCTTATGACTTCGGTCAGATCATAAATGCAGTGAATGCCAATAAGGATAAAGCTGCTTGTGCAGATCTTTTAACTATTACTGATCCAAAAACATTGCCGGTGCTGCTAAGTAACAAACTTGAAGGAGAAATCCTTCTGATTTTTATCCAGTCATTGAAACATTACATAGCTGGAAAAGATCCTGGCCTTGCATATCAGCACCTTTTCTACTTGAGCAAAGCAGAAAGATTTAAGGTAAGAACCTAGACTGATTGAATGTGTACTTAAATTGCACAGAAATCTAAAGGAAATTTTCATATCTTAAAAGGAAAAAACATCCTGACTTTTGTATCTCTGTCAGATATTATGATTATCAGTCAACTTGTGCTGATTATAAAATAATTTGTTGGGTTTTTTTTCAGGTGGTGCTGGCCCTTCTTAGCAAAAAGGAAAAAGAAGAGGTGCAGCAATTATTTGACGTACTTTCAGAAAGCCAGAGTGATCAGTACTCATTGGAACATCTTGAGAGCCTTAAAAAGGTTTATGAACTTTGAGAAGTTAAAGTTTATTGTCTGCATGCATATAGTTCATGTTAGAAGATGAATGATTGAACTCTGCAGACTTGCCTGGGTTCAAGTGGGTCTTTACCTGGACTACTGGAATTGTATTTTGTTTTGACAGCATATGCACATTTAAAATTTGCTGTTCTTTTCTTCTTGTAGTTGTATACATCTATAGAGTTTTATGCCCATCTGTGTTCAGTAACAGAGTTAATTTCATTTGGCATACTGATTTTATTTAGACTCAGAAAAATATATTTTACATTATACATGCAGTATGAAATACCTTGATGGTACAGTAGGTACACTTTTAGTCATCACTTTTTACATCATTTTGTGAGTTCTGTGTTCTTGTGATAAAGAAGTGACTTCAAGACAGATGGGTCAGGTAGCAGTAACTTTGCTAAAATGAGTTTACAAAAAGTATTAACATTTTTCAGAAAACTCCTGTGGGCCATCTGTTTGTTCACTATTCCTGGTGTGTACAAAACAGATTTAAATATTTTGGCTTAATACATCTTAACAAAAAAGGTGAATGAACTATATATTAACTTGTCATGGAAACAATTATTAAATGGATGGGTACTTTTTAACAAGTGAGTAATTTTTAGTGCACAGAGAACTTTTTTCCTGTGTGTGCAGGAGGATGTCTGGTTTTCTGAGTTTTTTTAGGCAGTGACAGAAGAACAAGTGGCTGCACTTCACAATAGAAATATTTAACTCTTGAGTTTTGTAATCAGATTATTTAAAATACCAGCTATTTCTGTTTACAGATATATTTATAAAATTAAAAGTAAAACAATTTTTTTGGACAAGTATGATTTTTTTTTTTAATTTCAGGTATTGCTTATGTTTTATATTTGATTCTGACAAAGCTCCTTCAAAGGTGAAGCTTTTCAGTTTTTCAGATACCCCGATGCCTTCTTTGCACAGGTGATATAAATGTATATCAGATTCACTTAGCACTGCAGAAATATCATTAAGAATGTTGTTCTAATGAAAATTTTTCTCAGGTGTATATTAATTAATAAAGTTTTTTCTTGAAAAGTACAATTACGGCTTTTTTTTCTGGTTCAGTAGTTTAGGCTTATAATTCTGACATGTGAATTATGAGTTTCAGCTTGGAGTGCCAAGAATGAGGGTTGTAATTACTAAAGCATCATCAGTGCAACTGATATTCAGCAATTAACGGATTTTCACTTCGTGTGCGCGATCTCCTCTGATTAAGGCAGACCCTAAACTTTGGCTGGTTGAGGATATAAAACAGCACCATTGCCTGCAGTCATTTTGATGATGGTCCTGCCCCATTCATGTTTCATTGAGATTGGCTGCTTTTTTAGACCTCATTTGGGAGGGCCTGACAGGCAGAATAATTTCTAAAGACACAGAACTTAGAGAAAAATGGAATCAAACACATGTAAGGGACTGTATTGCCAATTCAGCCTGAGCAGCTCAAGCCAAGGACACCAGTCTTCAAAACTGAAGGGGCAGCATTAGAGCACTGGAAGGCATTTTGGGGCAGGGGGTACAGAATGGAATATCTTTGGGTGTGGATTTCACCATTTGTTTGACAGGTAAGGGCTGCCTAAATCTGTTCCTCTTGCCTTAGTCGTGGAAACTGCGGGAGAAATCTCTGCAGCCCCAAACAGCTGCAGCTGGACAGCAAAGGTGGGATCATCTGTCAATGTCCTTGGCCAGGTGAGGCTGAGTGGCCTCTGCACAGAGGCAGCCACAGTGTCCCAGGTGTGGCACTGGAGCAGCTGCAGACCAAAAGTAGCTCCTCGCTCATCACGGGACCTGCTGCAAAACACGTTTTGTGTCCTGTCTGTGTAATGGTCAGCAGGAGAAGCCACAGAGCTGAATTGCTGCTTTCCTCGCTGCTGGGTCAGGAGCTTGCCTTTCCCTGGGCAGTCCCCATCCCTGACACTCCTGGTCTGATTTTCCCCTCCTATTTTTAAACACTCACATATTTTAAATCTTGTGTCTGCTCTGTGCTTGGTCTTTACTTAGGCTGCTTTTTTGTTTCCCTCTGCTCTCCATAATTACAATCTCTTCTGCAGCTTTGGCTGCTCTGCCAGGCAAAGGTAGGACTGTAGCTGCCGCTTAAGCACTGCAGTGCATGGCCTCAGTGTGGACACAGCATCCAGAAACAACACCGTGGGCAAAAGAGGGGAGCAGGAGCACCCCAAATGTCTTAACTGGTTTTGTGGTAGGGAGGCCCCATCCCAGCATGATGTTCTGTTCTTGGCTTGTCACTCATCCACTCAGTGTTAACATCCAGCTCTGCAAAAACAAACCAACCAAACCCAACAGCAGGACAAAAGCAGGAGGAGCATTGGTTCTGCAGGTGGTGGGAGCAGGGGACTGAATGTGACCCTGCAGTGGCAATAATGCAGCCAGTCACACACACAGAGGATGTGTCCTGTACAGCCGAGCTGAGCAGGCCTGCAGAGACCCAGCTGCTCCTGGACACACAACCCTGGTTTTCACACTAGGGGTGGATAGCAAGATTCTTCCTGCAGCCACTAAAAATGCAGACAGCAGCCAGGGAATAGCAGGAGAAGAGGGGGTGACACTGTTGTTACTTTGGTCCTTTCGAAGTATTTTTGATGTTTTTCAAGAAGCCAGCTCCAGGCTGACAGGTGTTACCAAGGTAGAGTATGAGCATGGCAGTGTTGCTTCCCTGGCCAAAAAGTCAGTGTACCACAGGGCCACCACTCTTCCCACTCTCCCTGGGCAATGGTGAGAGCCCAGTTACTGGCAAACCACACTCCTTGTCCTTATGTGGGATGTATTTCCACTCATCAAAACCTGCTCTGCTTTACATAACCCGGTTGCACAAATGAAGGGCTACTCCTGTGGTGACCAGGCCTTTCAGAAGACTTAAGACTTGTTCATTACAATAAACAAAATAATTTAATTTTGAACAGCAGGGAACGGATTCTTCCTGCTGTAGATCCCAATTTATGACCCAAGTCAGTGTAACTCTGCTCAGCAGCTGTGAGGGCCGGCAGCTGGAGCAGGGGCTCACCCCGGCTGGCTGAGGGGCACAAATTATCACCGACCCGAGTCCTCGCTCCTTTCCTGGGCGCCTGCCCGGGCCACCCCCAGAGGATGTAACACATTTCAGTTGTGGCAGCTGTGGCAGTGCCATTTTCTTGCAAATCCGTGCCACTTCTCAGTTGCTCCTTGCTAAATGCCACCCTTGTAAACACAGTCAGCGACATGAGAGTGATTTTCCTTGTAAACAAGAGGGATTATAAGGAGATTAAGTGCCCCTCACACAATGCTGTGCGCAGAAAGGTCTTGAGAATGCAGCCTGTGAGTAAAGGCAACCCCATCAGCACGGGGCTGGTGCACAACCAGTGTAATTTAGGCTGTTGGGAATTTTAATGCCCTTAGTGTTGATATGGAATCTAAAATAGTCCCTTCATAAAGCCAGCTCAGGATGGTGCAAGGAGAGCTGTACCTGCTGTACCTGGCAGCTTGCTGGGCTTCCCCCCTCCACAGTGGTTCCTGCTGGTCCCTGTGTGCAGGCAGGTGCTGAGACAGTCACAGCTCAAAGATGCTCAGTTTCCTGACCTGGCACACGAGCGAGGTGCAGCAGCAGATTCATCTCCAGAGCCATCTGCCAAGACTTGGGGTTGTGTTCAGCACAGAAATTCAGTGTCACCCATGGGGCTGTGACCCAAACTCATTTTTCCTCCAGACCAGCTCTGATTACCAAGTATCTCATAGCCACTTTTGTCTGTTTCTCCTCCCCTTTGAGACTGTAGGTAACAAAGACATTGTCACCACTCTGGGATCGTGCTGCTCACCACCATCAGGCCTGGGGGTTCTTCAGTGCTCACGGAGAAACCATTTTACTCTCTCAGCAACAGCAGATTATTCCTTCAGGGATGACCAGTGTGTTACCTTTGGGACTGGCAGGAGCAGTCAAGGTAGTAACTCTGCTGCTCTTCAGATCTTCGTTTTTTCAGAAAGTGATTCTAAATAAATATAATTCCCAAGTTTCTGTTCAAGACAACCATAATTTCACCTGAATTAGAATATTAAAGGGTTTAAAGTTAATTAATTCTAGTATTTTTCAACCTTCTGCTTGATTATTTTTAAAATGTTTTATTATCTGTTAGAGTGGTGGTATTACTAAGTAGGCAACTATTTAAAAAATCAATCTGAATGACTGGAAGAGATGCAAGTCAGTCAAAAAAATTTTATGCAACAGTAAAAAGTAATTAGCTCATAACTGCAAAACTTTGTGACACTGATTGAATGAAAGGATGGATGTACAAGCCTGGATGCTTCATTACAAAAAGGACATGCAAACATCATGAGGAAAGCTTTCATGATGGCTTTTATCTAATGTTGTAACTATCTCAAATAGTCTCAGATACAAGAGATAGCAAAATAAAACTTCCTCAAGATCCACAACCCAACGCGAATTAGTCAAATTTGCCAGGAATCATGAAAAAAAATTCTGGAAAAGAATCACTGTGTTGGGTGATCAGATGTAAACTTGATCTTTCCAGTAATTTATTTCAGTGAAAAAGAAATGTATTGAATTCTTACAATAGATCTGTAAATAAGAGAACTATCTTCTGCATTAGTGTATTAATGGAAGTGTGTATTTCACTTTTTTATAGACTCAAAATATGTCGCTGCATTAAATTTACGGGTGCTGTTAAGACTGCCTCATGTATGAAATATTACCTCTGAATTAAAAAATGCTACAAAATTAATCAGCAAAACAGTTTTCTGCTAAAATCTTATCTCCAGAAAAAGCTTAGCTGCTTTTTAATGTTGCCTCTTAAAAGTGAGGTATAAAATTATCAGATGATTTTGGAGTGACTGAAAATAATGGTATTATTTGATAAAATTTATTTACAAGAGTAAACTGTATTTCTAATCACCTGCACAGCAAAACTGAGGTCCTGAGAAATGAAGAGGTAGAATTAAACTTGCTGAAATAGCTCTTCCATCTGACAGAAGTGTAACTTGCATATGGGTTTGGGATGAGGCAATTCAGCTTGGGCTTCTGCAGAGCATCTCCATCAGTTTTAGTTTCTCACTTCCCCAGCCTCTCACAGTGCAGGTGAGAAAATGAGCCTAAGGAACAGACAGTTCAGCTCAGCAAAAACCACCAGGTGTCACCCAGAAACTCTGGTCAATCTGTGGTGTTTCAGAAAGAACTCTCTCTGCAGGCCATGTGAACTGAGAAGAGCATCACTTCAGACAGAGAAAACAGAGTTTTAGTCAGCGACCTGACTTGTGCCAAGATGGTGCAGTTTTGTTTAAAGAGCTCCTGCCAGAAATGCATCCCTCTCTCAAAACCATTTATTGTCCTGCCTGCCAGAGAGGCAGCTCAGATTTCTTTTCATCTTGGAGAAGGCCAAAATCTTGTACAAAAAGCAACTGACGGTAGATCTTAAATTGCAAGAATCAGAGCACTCAACTTCCAAGGCACACCTAATCAAATAAAAATATTTAGAAGCAGCAATAGATAAGAGCATTCAGCACCTTACAGGAAAGAAGGCTCCCAGGGAACATACACATTTTCATAAGGCTGATCAGCACATTAAACAACAGACCACTAGAAGTCAGTATTTAGACATTTATTTCAGATATGCAGTTTACACGCATATTATTGAGCAAAACCGAATTGCAAATATACAAATACTGTAACAAGCATTACCAAATAACGTAACTGGCACTAGTGTTATAAGCTATTACTGAAACTGGTGAGGATAAGTCATGGAAGAGGACTGTAGCTCATGGCATTTTTTT